TGCCTCTTCTCTCTCTGCTTGCAGCGTCGCAACAGACTGCTTTTGATTTCCACTCAGTACACAGCATTGCAAGCTGCTTTCGTCACATCCTGGCTTACTTCCCTTGTAAGCGCCTCCTCTCAGGCTCGAGGCATAGAAGGTTAACCCTTCACTACACCCAACAGGATTTCCTATTATTATATAAAATGATCAAGGTGTCCAGAATGGGAACTGATTGTCCTCATTTGGGGGGGGGTGTTGGAAACTCAATGTACATTCAATGTACATTTCCCCTATGGTTAAAGTTAAAATAGCCCAAGAGAAACATTTTCATTACCTGCCATAAAGATCCATCTAAGCAAAAGTCAGGCACAGTCTTGACTGTTAACTGTCTCAACAAACTCTGTATGGACTTGGGACCTTTCCTGTTTGTGACATCACACATGACATCAGAATATTGTGTTTCCCAAGCTACTTTGTGTCCATGCCAACAGCAGTAGCCAACAAACCTTAAAACTAGGTAACCTTAGACTATCTAACAATTTTGATGTTCATTTTTGATCTGATTATTTCTGCTTGAAGAAGAGCTAACGGAAAACTTTGTCTGTTTCTATTATTTTAAACCCCAACCATGAGTTGATCCAAGTATAGTTTCACTTTTTGTGTGTATTCATCCTGTTGATTAGTTCCACTTTTATGAAAAAATATACCTGCCTAATTTTGGTTTTGTTCAGAAAAGCCTCATGGTGCTACGTCCTGATCTGAATATTTTACTTTTTCCCCCCTAAGGTTTTTTACAGTTAGTTTTTTACATGGTCCATTTTTTTTATGCTTACATGAACTGGTCCACCACTTCTCTTGCCTGTTGCTCTTGAATGCAGTGGCTTACAAATCCCCCCCCCAACCTCTAAAATCCCTGCTGAGAAGCAATAGGTATATTTTTGCAGATCGATTGATAATCTCTGCACCAAGGGAACTTGTGGGTCATCACACTGAAACAAAACCTGACCAGGTGAACTTTCCCTCATTGTATCTTTCTTAAAAGGTCTTTAAGCATTGGCAACACCACACCACAATTAATCCATCTTTTATAGTCTTCATCTGATCTATTAGCCACCTTTAGCGGGTGGCACTGTGGGTTAAACCACAGAGCCTAGGACTTGCCAATCAGAAGGTCGGCGGTTCGAATCCCCACGACGGGGTGAGCTCCTGTTGCTCGGTCCCAGCTCCTGCCAACCTAGCAGTTCGAAAGCACGTCAAAGTCAAGTAGATAAATAGGTACCGCTCCAACGGGAAGGTAAACAGCATTTCCATGTGCTGCTCTGGTTCACCAGAAGTGGCATAGTCATGCTGGCCACATGACCTGGAAGCTGTACGCCGGCTCCCTCGGCCAATAAAGCGAGATGAGCGCCGCAAACCCAGAGTTGGCCATGACTGGACCTAATGGTCAGGGGTCCCTTTACCTTTACCTTTAGCGGCAGAAGTCTAATCTTAATGAGTCATTAACTCGATCCTACCTGATAAGAGTTTACCTGCATGCATTCATTTTTTGCCACTCTCTATAGCCCAAACTTCAGAGCACTTTAGACAGCTTTCCCCTCCATATAGCTAAGAGAGAAACGTTTTACTTGATGATTTTAACAGGGAGTGGCAGACAACAGAAATCTTGTGAGACCATGGTACTTTTACTGAGATGGAAGACATTGTAATACCTGGTGAAAACACCCTTTCTCCCCTCTGGCAAGTACACAAACATCATCTGGTAGCTGCTCATTTGCAGGCCAAAGAACTTAACTATACTTGAGAGAGAGAAGGCAAAGTAGCTCAGATAGCAGGAAGTGTCCAGTGTCCCAGTGCAGCTTATTAGCTGAGCTGTGTGTCTCTGAGGACTTCCTCTGGATTTAGACAGAGTGACTGCTGGTTGCTGAAATCTCCTTGCTAGGTAAGCAAGTCCCCTAATGAATGCGGAAAGCCTCTCCTGTGGCTTTGGCTGTTTGAATTGCAAATGAAGCTGTTGCTTAAAAAACACACACACACAAAAACCCCACTCTGTGTAAACAGGAGACACTTACCACCTGCGTTATTTGTTTATATGATCTGACAAAGAGAGAGGGAGAGAGATGCAAATGATGCTACAGGGTACTCCTTGTAGATTAGCTTATTAATGTAGGGTGAGGGAGCAACCTGAGAGTTAAATGGCACTGCCTAGAGATGGTGGGTGGGAAACCTCTCTTAAAAATTAGGTGTGCCAAAATGGCAGCATATGCAGCTACGAAAGATAATTTGCATATTTTTGATATTGTTGATTGCACATTATGTATCAGGTTTCCTTCTTAGGCTGCTCAACATCTGAGAAGAAGACAGGGAAGATGGGGAAGAAGCAATCTCTCTCTCTCTCTTAAGAATAATACTACAGTGGTACCTCGGGTTAAGTACTTAATTGGTTCCAGAGGTCCGTTCTTAACCTGAAACTGTTCTTAACCTTAACTTTAGCTAATGGGGCCTCCTGCTGCCGCTGCACCACCGGAGCACAATTTCTGTTCTCATCCTGAAGCAAAGTTCTTAACCTGAAGCACTATTTCTGGGTTAGCAGAGTCTGTAACCTGAAGCGTATGTAACCTGAAGTGTATGTAACCCGAGGTACCACTGTAATACTAATACTAATACCCTACCCATCTGGCTGGGTTTCCCCAGCTACTCTGGACAGCTTACAGCACAAATAAAAACATAGTAAAATGCCAAACATTAAAAACTTCCCTATACAGGGCTGCCTTCAGAGGTCTTCTAAAAGTTGTGTAGTTCTTTATCTCCTTGATATCTGTTGGGAAAGCGTTCCACAGGGAGGGCACCACTACCGAGAAGGCCCTCTGCCTGGTTCCCTGTAACTTTGCTTCTCGCAGTGAAGGAACCAGCAGAAGGCCCTCAGAGGTGGACCTCTGTGTCCGGGCTGAGTGATGGGGCTGGAGATGCTCCCTCAGATATAAGTCAATCTTATTGCCATCCCTTTAACTAAACCCTGAAAGTCACCCTGAGAGTTGGGGGTATACCAGAAAGCAGTTCATGATGTGGCACTTGGTTTCAATGGTATTCCTTGCCATTTCAGCATCTCCAAGAGTTTTGAGATCTCTGCAGCAATGGCTAGATAAATAATAAATATTAGTGACAGAGGAGCATTTCATTTGGGGTCTGTATCTTAAAAGTGAATCTGCCTATTTCACAAGTTTCTGGACTTCCACACAGATGAGAATATAGCTCACAGTCAATTGCACAGTTCACTGACTTTTGTCATACATTTTCAGTTCCAAAAACAAATGCGTATTTTAAGGGGGAAATGAATACTTTAAAAAATATGGATTTTAGGGGAAACAAAATGTTTAAATTTAAGACTTGATCATTATGTACATTTTTTAAAAAAATACTCTCAGTCCACAGCATTAACTGACTTGCATGGGTGAATACAATGGAATCGTGATATCTTTTCACATTGTATCAGTTGACACATTTCATCAGAAGGTCAGCAAATTTTGCGTTATCAAATGGTTGATGACATGCATATGTGAACCATCCATTCATGACCATTTGAAGAATATGTGCTCACTGGTAAATTAGAGATGTGCTAAAGCAGCCACATGGCTGCTTCAACATGGACTGGTTCATAAATATAGGGTTCACACTTAGTGACTGAAAGTACATGTTAACAGGCCGGCACAGATATACAGTGGTGCCTCGCAAGACGAAATTAATCCGTTCCGCGAGAGTCTTCGTCTAGCGGTTTTTTCGTCTTGCGAAGCAAGCCCATTGACGGATTAGCGCTATTAGCGCTATTAGCGGTTTAGCGGCTATTAAAGGCTTAAAGGCTTAGGGATTAGCTGCTAAAAGGCTATTAAAGGCTATTAAAGGCTTAGCAGATTAGATAAAGGGGGGGGAAAGCGGGAAAAAAATCTCAAGACTCGCAAGGTATTTTCGTCTTGCGAAGCAAGCCCATAGGGGAATTCGTCCTGCGAAGCAACTTCAAAACGGAAAACCCTTTCGTCTAGCGGTTTTTCCGTCTTGCGAGGCATTCGTCTTGCGGGGCACCACTGTACTACTAGCACAAAAAGAACTTCATATCACCTCAATCATGATTCATTCATTTCACACATTTGTCTGCCAGTCGTCCACTTCACAGTAAGCAGGAACAGATAAATCAGGATTGACTCAACCTACACATTCAGCATTGAGTTTTAGTTTTATAATTCACTTTGACTTAAGTTAAATGCAAGGAAGCAGGATTGGAAGTCAAACAATATGCAGTGTCTCTCTCTGTGTGTGTGACTAGTAAACATATCTCAAAGTTATCCTGGCAAATTAAATATGCCAAACTTTTAGTTTTACCCTCTCAAATCTCTTTTTGTGAGATGAAAATTTATTTTCTCGCTACCATTGTCCATTAATTTGCTGAGGGAAAAGATCTCTGCAAATGAGCTTTAGATATATAGTTGGAGTAAATCCTCAGATAGCTCAGAAGTGGAAGAAAAAGGTGAAGCAGAGACAAGAATAAGGTTAAGGAGTACTCAAATGAGCTTAGAGGTGGCCCCTTAATCTCTTTTATTAGAGTGTGGACATTTAGCAGCATTTAAAACCCCTATAAACCAAAGGCATAAAATTAGACTTCTGAGTCATTTGGACATTTACTGTCGGAGAGCCAGATTTCAAACTATTCTTCTTCCTGAACTAGAGTTTCACTGCTGAGACCATGATGAACATATATGAGGTCTCATAGCTGCAGTTGTGAAAAAAGCTTCTGTCAGCACGAAATCCTAACTTCTCACTGGTGCAATTCCAACTTCTCATCATTTTGATGGCTGTACTAATATCTACTCTAGATTTCAGGCAGCAGCTGGGATTATATGGACAACCTGCACCCTAGTGTACTTATATTCCCCCTCCTCATAATATCTCCATCTTTGTTGTCATACCCATAAAGGAGAAAGGGGAGGTGGTTGATGCTCCTCTAGACCCCCTGCAATACAGAAATATTTTGCCCAACATGGGGCTTCAACCCATGATCCTAATATTAAGAGTCTCAGGCTCTACTGCCTGAGCCACAAGGCTATGATGTGCAAAATGTAAGGATGGGGGAGAAATTCAGCACAGCTCGCATTTAAGGATGAACCTAGCTTCATATTTTCCAAAACAATACACTAACTGGAACATAGCCATCTTTTTAAATTTACACTTCTTCAAATTTTGCAATGCCTTTCTCCAGACAATATTTTTTAAAAGCATATACTGAGGTAAAGTGTGTTTAAAATGCATATTTGTGTGAAAATAAGATGTCAAAAATGCATTATAGTAAGGGAAATAGCTTTGCAAAAATAATAATAATAATAATAAACACCAAACCCTACATTAGAAAAAATGTCATAAAAATGTGTTTATTAGGAGAAAATTGCAATGAAATGCTGATGAAATTCAATTGGCCTTTTTTTAAAAAAAAAATGCAATCTGGTGTGGAAATGTGGAGTTGTGAACTTAAATGTGGGGGAAATGGGAAACTGAGAGCAGTTTTATCTACCTCTAGCAAAGTACCACAGGTTTAGAGTGATGCACATTATAGTAGCATTTCAGCATTTCCATACTACCCTGCAACACCTACAGGAATCCCAAATTATATCCTGAATTATTATGCTGGTGGTAACAAGCTGCCACTTATTCATTCATCAGTTATCCCAAATTGCCCATGAGGTACATCTGGAGTGCCTGAAAGACACAGTTATGCCTTCCCTCCTATATGGGGGGGGGGAGTAAATTTAAAGGGCAGGGAAAGGCAGATTTTTGCCACTACTTATTCTCTTTTTGCTTGGGAAAATGTAGGCTCCTTTTCACCTTCCCTGTTTAGATAAACTGCAGAATTAGGCACACCCAGCTTTCCATAATAATCCACTATCATTCCCTGTCAAAGCAAAGTGTAGTGGGCAACCGCTAATTTAATTTTCCTAAGTATTTGCCCATCTTCCAAATTTCTAAAGGCCAGCTCTAATGAAAACTCATTCAGCCGAAGAAAAACTAATTCAACCATAAAACTGCATTTTCCCGTCCTATTAAAAACTGCCAAATTAATGTTAGTAGCAAAACAAACAGACAACAACAACCAAAAAACCTTGCTATTATCTGGCATTATTCTGCCAGTTTCAAATCCGGGCTTCTTTTCTCTTTTGAAGTGGTAGCAGAGTGACTTATTCAAGGGGCCTTGCTGTAATGTGTAGCTGTATTGGTTTTCCTACTGCTAGTCCAGGCTTTTTATAGGAAGCATGTGTTTTTGCCACCTAAGGACTGCTTCCTTCATGCAAATTTATTAGCTGAATGGATAAACTGTAGCAAAGAAGCAAAAACTGGGAATAGGTTACACACACACACACACACACACACACACAGAGAGAGAGAGAGAGAGAGAGAGAGAGAGAGAGAGAATGAACAAGAACACCTAATATTGACTCACCTGACCCTGACAGATTATCCTGAGAATCAAGTGATTGTGTCCCACCAAAATAAAAATGTTCTCCACCCATTGTAGATAAATCACATGCAGACTAATAAATATACACTCTTTAAATTAAAAAAAAGCGTTAAAAGGGTGGGAAGCAAGCCATACAAATCTGGATGTTTCATTTGCTCAGTGATATGTTCTGTACTTTAAGTTATAGCTTTGAAATTTACTGACATATTTCTTTTGAATTTGGAAAGCTCCTTTAATGCTGGTGTGTGTGTGTGTGTTTATATTTTTCTTTCATAAACTGCGTTGACGAGATTTTTAACTTGTAAAAGGTGACCTGAAAATAACTTTAAATACCAGTCGGTCAATCTGAATAAGAAAATATTGCCTGTAAATCAAAACTAGAAAATAGTTTCTGCTTTTTTACCAGTTTGTGAAGAATTAAGTCATTCCTTAACGTTCTAGCATTGGGAGAGCGATGAGAGGCAATGGGATTGTGGGCTATTTCCATCTGATGACACCACCTCGGGGGGAGGGGAGAACCCTGCAGTCCTTTAAACCAGAGTAGGTGTGAGGATTGGGCTAGTGACAAGGATGAATTGGAGGATCTAAAGGCCAGGGTCCCTTTCCCCAAAACAATAGTTCTGAATGGAATTTCAGAATGTTGAGGCTCTGAGATGGGGGTCTTCCTTACCATTAGCCTCAGTGAAGAATGTGGGAAGGGAAGAAGAAGAAGAAGAAGAAGAAGAAGAAGAAGAAGAAGAAGAGGAGGAGGAGGAGGAGGAGGAGGAGGAGGAGGAGGAGGAGGAGGAGTTTGGATTTGATAGGGAAGGAGCTGTAAGATTTTGGAGGACAGAATTGTCTGCTGTGCCATGAGACTTGCACTGTGCTGTGTAAGCTAGCCTGCTGCTCTTGGATGCAATGCAAGATGCTATTCCATCACCGCTGGAGAGCCAGCGTGGTGTAGTGGTTAAGAGTGGTGGACTCATAATCTGGTGAATCGGGTTCGCTTTCCCGCTCCTCCACTTGCAGCTGCTGGGTGACCTTGGGATAGTCACACTTCTCTGAAGTCTCTCAGCCTCACTCACCTCACAGAGTGTTTGTTGTGGGGGAGGAAGGGAAAGGAGATTGTTAACCGCTTTGAGACTCCTTAAGGGGAGTGAAAGGTGGGATATCAAGTCCAAACTCTTCTTCTTCTTCTTCTTCTTCATATCCAATTGCAACTCTGGTCAGCATCTGTAAGCAGAATGGGAAGGCTCCACTATTTCCTTTAAGCCAAGCTTCACTCGCCTTGCCCCCTTTTCTCCTTCATTCTGGATCCAGGAAAAAGCTTCAAAATCTAAAGCCCCCAAGTTGCTTCCGTGCTAGGCACAAATAATTGTCAGCAAAATCCCATCAGCTTGAATAGGGATTGATTTGGAATCTCTGAGCTTTTTCAGAAATTTCTTTTAAAAGAACAGAAAAAAGGCCTATCTTTTCTGAGAGTTTTCTTCTGGTTCATCATCCTGGTGATGTGTTTTGTCTGTGTTGTGTACATACACATTGTATTTACATTGTCATCTGGGAACCACGCACAACCGTGTTCTCAGAACCAGCCATGGTTGATATATTCAGCTCCTCCTCTAAAAATCAAACTCACCCAAGAATCAGAGAGAGTTTTACATGTGCACGGGGGACACCAATCACACACAAAAAAATTGCAAGAAGCAATCAAGTACCCATCAAGCAAAAAAGGTTCTTGGCAATCAGTGAGAGCTTCTTTGAGAACTAGGGTAAATATGAATTAACTCTGTAATTCTACAAAGCAATTGGCTTTGAAATGCATGTAGTTTTGCAGCCATCAGTGGGCACTATACCGAAATTAAGGGGTTTAACATTGAAGAACTTTTGTGCATGTACCTAGAAAGCAGCATGCTTTGGGCATCTGGGCTGCTGAATGTTTTGTTTTAAAAAATAAAATGTAATTAGACTTCAATCACAGATGAAATTCTTTTTAGAACTGTTCATAGTTGTCTTCAGTTGTATCCATTACACCTCATGGCTTCCTGTCCTTAACTTTACAAAGCTGGGATGCAATTATGACTGGAAGGCCCGAGGTGTCAGGAGTTGCTCTAGTCTAGCAAGACTCCAGCTCCCTCTTTGAGCTTCCACTATCTCAGCTGGCCTCCACTCACAACACGCTCCTGCCATATGAGAGAAGGCTCTCCTTGAGGTATCCTATGGATGGTAGACTATACCATCTGGAACTTTCAAGGCAAAGCTACATGGACAAAAGGAAGTGCAGTACATCACTAATGTATGGACTTGTTGCCACAGGGTCTGGTTATGATCTCTATCTCAGGTGTATATGGAGGGCTACCAGTCATAATAGCTATACATAGCCTCTAGATTTGAAGAAAGTAGACCAGTTAATGCCAGCTGCTGAGGAATAATGATTGGAGAGGGCTATTGACTTTTTGGGCTGTTTGAGGGTTGCTCAGATCTGTAAGAAGCGCAATATCTGTGTAGGTGGTCATTTGGCCTGATTCAACAGGGCTCATCTTATGTACCAATGATCTGGCCTAGTTGAACAATGACCTTGTCCTTAAATCTGATGTTACTGCTACTGTTGTTGCAACCAACAGAAATGTGAGCATCGCTCTTTTCCCGTTTCTTCTCTCCACACCCCCACTCTCTCCTACAAGGATTTATAAGCCCACTAAGGGCAGATGAGTCTCACCCCATTAATTGCAATTCCTGCTGTCAAGTGCATGCCTTATGACTCTTTCAACAACTCCAGCCGCTCTGCTTTACAGTTGCAACTCTGTTGTTTTTCCTCTCTTGCTCTCAGTGTGTTTTATCTAATGATCACGCCTTGGGCAAAAACAGTAAAGTGTAAGAACAATGACCAGAGAAAATGGAGATTCTGAAAGCTTTGCGAGTGCCCACTTTCAAATGCCAGTAGTCCACACAAAAATCACTTCCCCTGCCCATGGCTTAGTGAAGAAATGTAGATTAATTTTGTCTGAGTGCCTTAATGCATTACGGAGCTGCGTTGTACTGGGGTGGGGTGAATGGGAAAAAATTCATTGTTTGGACACCTCTGGGTAGCAGTGATTATGCTCTGAGCAAAGAGAAGTTAACCTTGCGGCCATATTCTTACCGTCCATTGATCATGACTGAAATGCAAAGCGATTGTTTTTCTTTTATATGTTCTTGTCTCTGTGTAGAGTGCTAAGCCCCCTCTGGCAGCTCTTTCTCTCTGCCTGCTTTTTACTTTTACAAACCTTTTAAGATTCATGGACTAGATGAAAGAGATCAGAACTTTTGCATGTGGTCAGCCAGCAGTCCTCTTGTGGTAAAAAAGTTGCTATTGGCTTCTGCTTTCTGGATATTTCCCTACAATGAGGTCAGACAGCAGTAATTTTTGTCACTGTATGCAGATCATGGCAGATTTCTTATCTAACATTACAGAGAATCACTCTTCTGTCAATATATCTGAATGCTCTCACTTCACTGCAGAGTGTATTACACCACTGATAGTTATTTGAGAAAAATCTACCAGTCAGCATTTACATTTAAAAAAACCTACCCACAAACTTACCTCTTTTTTATCCTGTATACTAAGAAAGATATGTA